CTATTTAAAAATGGCGGGGTTATTCTGGATACTCCATCTGGCGCGTGCAATGATGTGAATAGTGACGATTCTCTCTGACCAATCAGCAGTCATTATTGTTTTCACGTCACATTTTAGTATCGCCTCAGCTCGCTCAGAACCTCGCCGGAGGTGATACAAAAAGAAGTACCCGAAAGCAGGTACAGGTACAGCTTTTACACAGTGGAAAACCAAACAAAGGCGAGCCGAGTCGAGTCGAGTCGAGTCAAGCTGGTACTGTGTAGTGGAAAAGCGCCATTTGAGTCTATAAAAAAGTCAACAAAAAGAAGAAAAAAATTTTTTTTTGGGGGGGGGGGGGGGGGGGGTGGGGGGGGGGTTAATATGTAATGTAATCTTGTTAAAACGGATTTCATAAAATTGGTATCGAACAAAGTATCGTTCAGGAACCGGTCTCGAAGTCAGGGTATAGATATCGAGAACTTTAGTGAGTGTATTTTAGTGATCATACTAAATTAGGTATCATTCGAAAGCTTAAGCTCACAACATTCATCATGTTGAAACCATTTTGAAATTAGACATTGCATTACTATGGAAATGGTACTTTAAATTATTTTAGCTGTCTCAATTTTTGTGATATCAACTTCAAATTTGGAACACAACTTGGTTAGATATGGCTTTGATTTTAGAGTACAAGTTATTTTGTAAAATATATGTTGTATAAAATACATTGTTTAGTTCAGTACATTTGCTTTACAGTAAACCTAAACTTCTCTGACTTTTTTTCCAAGTGCTTTCACTTCTCTGTAAACCATGGTCTGTGTTACAAAGCATTTATTAATTATTTATTATTACCATTTAAGTTCAGATTGATGCTCAAAAAGGGAGGTGACAAGTTAACAGGTTATGATATTGATGATATCTTCCGAAATTTCTGGAAAACACTCAGTATTTACAACAGCCCAAACCTGCAGCATCTGTCAATTTCCCTCTCCCATTGACGCAAATTCAATTGGAGATTCATTAGCCTGAAACATTGCCTGCCTCAAAGCACTTGAGCACTTCTGCATGAATATCTCATAAGCAGTCAGTGTGAGTGGTGGCTTTGCATTGGGAGACTGAATTTATAGCCTGCTGGATCATTCGTTGTTCAAAATGGAAGCCACGCTATGAACTAACCTCTCTCTGGCAGAAACCTCTTTTCCACAGCCATAAAAGCTCGTATGATGGATGAAGGGGGTTGATGTTTAAAATAATTATTCTCATGCTGACTGTTAGGTCTTGCCAGCTGACTTTAGCCTCGTTGAGCATCCCAGCAGACTTTAGCATGCAAACATCTGTTTTTATCAACACTATACAGCACAGTCTTTACAAAAAACAGTAGTTGTGACCTTAAGCAGCTACATGTTTTGTTGGTAAAACCCATTTTGTTATCAAGATGGATTTCTTATTAAGTTTGGGGTAAGGCTTCTCTAACTAGTGTGACAATAGCTTTTCCAGGAAAAAAAAACTACTTTTTGTCTAACAAGAATTGTTTAATTTTAAGTATGAAATTCAACATTGCTTGTTTGTATTATATCACATTGTATTGTGCATGTAGTTTACAACCGGCCAAGGCAATGATGCACTGAACTCTTCTAGTTTTATTACTGTAGATGTATTCAGCGAAAATCTGAAAAAAAATGAATCTGTTAAAATTCAATTTGTCAAATTTAAGCTATAAGCCTGATTTTTGAAGCTGTTCTCCTTTAAATATTTGTTAACATTTTACCTCTTTTCTCCTATACAGAACTGTAAATAATTTTGACTTTGTGTTATTTGAATATTGTTGGCTGTTATGACAAATTGCCTCATTTGTACTGTAAGTTGCTTTCGATTACAGCGTCTGCTAAATTAATGAATGTAAATAGCTTTGTTAGTAGCTTCTACAATTTTTTTTTTCAACTTAAACAAAGTAAGTGTTCATACTGCCTAAAATTAAGTTTAGTCAACTTGAAATGTGAAGTTGTAGTAGGTCATAGATATTTACACTAGATCTTGCCTTGGGGTTCTAAGCATGCGTCAAAACCGCCGCCATCTTGGAACAGGGGTCTTGTCATAGGAAGTAGCCTGTACTTCGAATTCATGGATTTTCGGACTTTTGTGCTGCGTATGGATGTTCACACGAACGAAATCTGAACTAAGAAATGTTTTTTTTCTTTCTGTGGACTCGATGATAAATACATGTCTGACCATTGGAACGAACCAAAAAAACTAGAAAATCGCATTCATGACGATTTATGGTGATTTTATTTCCGTTAGACCTTTGCCTACATTGACACTTATGCATTAAAGAGGAGGAGCTCCCCTGTTCCATTATGGCGGCTCTATTGATGCATTCGTTCCAATGAACTGCCGTAGCCAAGGTGACATCTAGTGTATATATCTATGGTAGGTGACAACTTATATAATTGAGTTCTCAACCAGATAAATCGGGGATAGTTGAGTTGGATACTTGGATATTTGAGTTATCTCAAGTTCAATTCAGGGACATTATTACTGCTAAATTTTGTTTTACAGAATTTAGGACTTTTCTTTGATTTATGGTAGTAGTTTAAGTGCTTGGAGAAGGAGCGTGTCTTCAGCTGTTTCTTATAGTTTGTAGATTCTAATGTAGTCAGGCTTGGCAAAAAATAATGATTTTGATTTTAACAAAATCTGTTAATTTAGATGTTTCCACATGCCTTCTGGAAACATCTAAATGACAATCTCAGACTTTGTTCCAGCAGGACTGACTTTGTAAGGGAGAATAAACAAAATAATTAAATGGATATGAATGAACAGGATTTTATCCAGGCTTTGTACAGTTTTTGCATGTCTTGCAGCGTGTATGAGGTGAAGCTGCAGTTGTTCTCCCAAGGCAAAACATAATCAGCAGAATTTTTCATGAAATGATTTTGCTTTGCTTAACTTGATTGGCATCCGCTGACATGGACAGCTGTGTTCAACCAATCAAACGTCATGTTCCACCCACACGTCTTGAGACATCTATCAATCCCGGCAGAAACGAGCTTTGTGTGTGGAGCGTTAAAGACGGCTATTGTTGCCGTGCTTCTGATGGACAGCATCATCTCCCTGGATCTCGAACGCAAGCCTGTTACGTTCATCTTAAATCTTTCTATAACAATTTGCATGCAGAAAATAACCAACTGTGTAAAATAAACTCCATATACAAATCACAAATGAAATCTTTTTAATATTACAACTGTTTTTCCTAGACAGCAATACAATTAAATAAAGAGACTTAGGAGAAAAAGTCCTAAGAAAGACCTCATTCAAGGAACCTCTGAGCAATAAAGTTGTCTTCTGGTTTGACAAGTTGAGATGTTAGTGGGGGGGTTTCGTATTACATGCTAAACTAGTGGTGTTGTGTTTGATTGAGGCCTATGAGTGTGTTTTGAGATCAGGTGCTGAGATGAACAGGGCTGTTGGGGATCGGGTTCTTCTTTTTATCTGCAGGCAGCTGTCAAAATGTTGAGTGGAAAATGTTAATCTTTCCGTGTGATTGCATTGACCCTAAAGCATCAATGGCACACCGTCACACTGTGTGATTGTCTTCGTGACAGCCGCCCACCTCTTACTGGTGTGAAATCACTTTCAGAAAACACTACCTGTGCCGATGGACACAGGTGGGACCCAGCTGGATTTTGTGCTGCTGTCACATTAAGATACAAATTTAACATATGAATGTCAGATATATTAGTGCAAATGTGCCAGTTACCCTGTGGGAAATTACTAGTAAGTACCTAGCAGCCCCTATAGGACCAATAGACCAAATCACTGAGGTAATGTTTCAACTGCATAGCGGCAAGTCAACTATCTGTGAACTATGTGCACAAATCTGAAACCAATGACTCGATTGAATCTGTGACCTTTTAGCACCCAACAGCATTGTGTCATTTCAATAATCTGACCTCTCATGTTGTGACTCAAGGACTATTATTAAAAATGATAACCATTTGTCACTGGTAATTCCACTTCAACAAATAATTTGGTAACACTTTATTTGGTCCCCTTTAGATATTATTTTGACTATAAGTAACATTGCATCTGCATGTCTACTAACTTTCATTAATGTTAGTAGAGCATTTAAGACTGGTAGGGTTAGGGTTAGTAGAATAAGTTGACATGTATTTGCCAAGTTACTTCTAGACAGTAGAATATGTGTTGGGGGAGCATCAAAACAAAGTGTTAACAGTTATTAAACAGACGGTCTACTAATACTCTAGAGTTAGTTGACATGTAGGTGCAAAGTTACTTATAGTCAACAGAATGTTCAAAGGGGACCATCAAAATAAAATGTTACAATAATTTCACCATTATTTATTGATATAGCTTCCCCCTCATTAAAATTTCCTCAGACATTCTAATTGTTTTAACAAACATATCAAGGACCGGAGAGCATTTGAGTGGTTTGGTTTGAAAGTCTTGCCTGGAAGTGGGATATTGAAGATGGATTTGATAAGACTAACAGCTTTAGTTAATCAATCGTCTTTAAAAGCTCAATTAATCAAGCTTAGAGTCTTACAAAGATGAGCTTCTGCAGACACTTTTGAACATCTATAATAAATAAAGTATTCTGTCAGTATACTATAATCTAGATTTTGTGTATACACCACCATTCAAAAGTTTGGGGTCGGTAAGATAAACTATGGCGACATTTATTTGATTGAAATAATGTACTTTATTATTACAAATGGTTTAACTGTAACTTTTGATCAATATACTGCATCCCCCCAAAAATCTTACTGACCACAAATGGTAGTGGTCAGTACCTGAAATTATATATTTTAGTACCTAAATTATATATATATATATATATATATATATATATATATATACAGTTTATGTAAATGTAATATTGATCTCTGTTTTGCAGAATTAAATGCTGCGTTTGTCACGCTGACGTTGGCCTGTGCTCTCAGATAATTGCTTTGGAAAATAAACAGCCATTCAGTTGTGTTTGTTGTGTGCTTGTTTTCCAGATTACGATGTTTGATAAAACAGTTGGAGAGGGGAGAGGCGTCTCTCGTAGACCTAAAGAAAAACCTGGAATATGCTGCCACTGTTTTGGAATCAGTCTATATTGAGGAAACAAGGTAAAGTATGGTGTTTACACTGTTATTTTACTCGACCACTCTCCGTTGCCAAATTTTGAAATATAGCCACTGCCAATTGACTTGAAATTATAAACAAGTTGAAACTCATACATTTAAAATTAGCTAGGAATGGAAAAAATAACATTTTCCTGACATATTCCTATTCTCGTGTTGTTTCATGACATCCATCAGTTGCATACTAACTGCATGGTCCATTTACAATGAATATTAATCTCCAGGCTGTTTTCTATTCTCGTCAAAATCTTTGACCCCACTGCATTGCTCACAAAGCCGTAACAGCGCATTATTCAGTCTTTCCATGTCAGATGCTAATCCAGCTTTTCCACACTATCCCTAAGTGGAGTCATTGTAAAGGGAAGATTGTAAAATTGGTCTAGGATCAGTCTAATGGAGCTTAAAGCAATTTAATCATGCTGATAGAGGTCAATTCAATTAGCAGTTAAAGATCTGTGTGCTTCATTCCCAAGATGCTTAGATTGAGTGAGTGGCCATTTGAGGGGGTCACAGGGGTCAACGCTACTGCTTTGTCCTTCAGAATTACCTTTACATTTTTTTAAGGATTTAAATATTTGCTTGGGCAATGATTTGCCTATTTTTAACATTGCCAAAATGGCAATATCTTGGTATGCTTTTGATTTACAGTACCTTTGATGTGCCATGCAAAATGCCATGCTATATGAATATGATAATCAAACAGTCCATGTGATCCAAGCACTGTGGTATTGACATTTGATACCTTCATTATATCATAAGGGTATATGTGAGGGTTTTTAAGCTATTCTCTGGTTGAATGTGACCACGAAATAGTTTGAAGCTTATTTAGGCCAATTTTTTTTTTATGTCCGCATATTTACTCTTATTTAAGCACAATATATAAAAAAATACGGTACATTCATTAACAATCAAGCAATCTACATTAGTGGCCAAAAGTGATGTCATGCCTAGGAAAATTGTCATCTTCACCCTTTATTAAAATATCATTAAATATTTTGTTTGCATATTGCGTAGTTGTGCTTGAAGTCAATTGTTTTATTTGTGATAATGCAATGAAACATGCCGAATTGTGCGGGCATCATTTTTGGCCAGGCTGACATGCAAAGAAATTATGAACACATGCAAAAACAAGAGAGAACCAACAAAATATTAATTACTGATTATGTTGTAAATGCTTTTTCCTGTGAACTTTTTGTCTTTCCTTCATACTTAAAATATTGAATTTTTTGATAGTGTAATCAACTTGTAGGATCATATAAAAAACAAATATCCCCTCCGGACATCACTTTTAGCCATTACTGCACATGTACATTAATAATAATGTAATTTATATATACTGTGTGTGTGTATATATATATATATATATATATATATATATATATATATATATCCTATCCAAACAGATTCATTATATATATATATATATATAAATTAATTTACTTATTTACTTGTTTATTTACTTGTTTATTTACTTGTTTATTTGTTGTATTTTATTTTTTCATACTTGTTGTACTGCTTTTCATTTATGCTGGCTTTAATTTAAAACATTCTAGGATTTTCCAGTAATGAGAATCACAATGGGAAACATTTAATTACAAAAAAACAAAAACAAAAGCATTACAAGAGATTTTGGCAGGTAAGAGTGTGTTTTAATCAAAATAATGTCACAACGCGCATTCACAAAATATAATTAGTTTCTTTTGGGTTGAAATGGCACCCGGATATGCTTTCATCGGGATGTGTGGATATGAGAGCATGCTGATAGCTTTATTGAGAGAACATAAACGAACACCTGCAGTTTGAAACGAGCCAAAAAACTCCTCCTTATCAGTGGCATTTCATTCCCGCTCAGTGATAGTATTTAACGTCTCTGCGGGGGGATGAAGCCCTCCATCACACCGCTCAAGTACCACTGATATCTTTTGATTCTGATGAGCAGAGTGAAGAATAGCAGCTGTGAATATCTAGATGCCAGAAAAGACATGATAAAAGCTTATGGAATTATGTAACTGGGACGTCATCGCGGCCCGGGATTATGACACACCCTCTCACTTGCCAAACCACAGAGACCCCCAGTCCGGTCTGGTCAGATTCATATTCGCTGTGTGATTTATGACGGGTGTGGGCTTTAAATCCATCATAAGAGCTTATGTCTAGATACACAGATGTTTATGGCACAGTTACTGCGAAGATGTTTTTAAAAGTCAATCCAGTGCCATTCCAATGCAAATATTTATACCTTAAGCTTCTTCTTTATTTACTAGACACGTTCTGCTGCACTTAAAGGGAACATACTGTGGTATTACCATAATTATGCGGATGAGTTATGGATTTAACCAGTGGGTCTTGGCTTCACTCACAGTTTAGATTTAAGTATAAATAGTCGTTTATCCTTCTTATATGCACAACAATTACCTGTCACAGTTGATATTTTAAGTGTAAGTGGTGATGACATTTAAAGTATCTTTCTCTCTCTCCCTTTTTTTCTAAGGCGATTGGTCGATACTGAGGATGAGCTCAGCGACATCCAATCAGATTCTGTGCCATCAGAGGTCCGTGATTGGCTGGCCTCCACCTTCACACGACAGATGGGGCTGATGATGCGACGGACAGAAGAGAAGCCACGATTCCGCAGCATCGTACACGCAGTGCAGGCTGGGATATTTGTGGAGAGGTGGGGTTAACCACAAAGCAGTGTGCTAAAACTATCCTAGCACTGTAGAAGCTATTCGCATTTTTAAATGAAAGAAAATCTCCCTTAGTTTTCCTTTTCTTTGACCCTTGCAATTTAAATAATTTTGCTATTCTACCTTTACAACTTCTATGTAAACAGCCTCCAATATGATTTGTCTAACATGTAGACATAAGTGTATGTTGTAATGTCACATTTTGAACTCTTATTTTGGATGTCTCTTCCATTTGAAAGGATCAAAGGACATGCTATTATAATATTTATTAATATTTTGAATTAGCTTTTTTATTTTTATATTTTATAAAAAATTATATTATATCAGTTATTTTTTTTGATGTGCTTTTGTTGCTTTTCAAATTTTATATATATATATATATTCGGTTTAAATGATTTTTATTTCAGTTTTAGTCATTTTAGTACTTCAGTACTATTTCTTTTAATTGCCAAGGTAAACATTTTAAGTGTTTCATCTAATGTTGTTTTCAGCTTTATTTTAATAGTTTTAGTTAATAATATTGAAACTAGAAAATAAATACATTTAGCTTTTTTTTTTTTTTTTTTTTAACCAAGAACACGAAGCAGTTTATAAACCATAAATCTTCCAGTGTTCATAAATCAGTCTGCATCCTCTTTAAGGCTATTTATTTCCTCGCCAGGCAGCATTAAAGTCTTTAGTGAAATTATTATAAATCTATGCATTGAGCTTAATGTGAGTCAGCGTATGCATATACATACATCATCTTTTTGACAAGTCTGAATAAGTACAGTCACTCTGCCCCTCTCTCTCTCTCTCTCTCTCTCTCTCTCCCCCCGTCTATCCGTTAGCATCATTTCATTAAATTCTAATGCACTTCAGGCAACACTGCACATTTAAATTGCTGTGACAAAGCATTTACTTAAAGAAAGTGCAGGTTGTCCTCTACATTTGATGTTTTGTCATTTTAAAGGTGAAGATTATGGCATTGTGTTTGGAGTGCCTGCAGTCTGTGCTGCCGCTTTCACTTGATGTGTTTATCTCGTTCTAACAGAATGTACCGCCGAACTTCTAACATGGTGGGACTGAGTTACCCTTCCTCTGTCATAGCTGTGCTTAAGGTAAAATACTCACACACTCTTCCATTCTCATAAGCAGCCATTGTCCAATGGCTCTCCAACCATTAAATTGTTTTTTCCCAGAAATTAAACTTTTAAAACATGCTTTTCACTTGTACCTTTTCACTTTTTAATTTGTTCACTAACAATGGCCAATAGTAGATATACAGTACATGCATCACAGAAGAATTCAGTCATTTTTGTCTCTCACCCCCCCCCCCCCCCCCCCCCATATTTCCACCATGTTTCAGTAGCATTCTGTGGTGGAATTAAAGTGAAAATAAAAAACATGGGTGTCGTCTTTCTCCTTTCGCTAGCAGTCTGTCCTAAATGCACACAAATAATATTTTCACACTTTTTGTCAAATTATTTGTCTACAGCTTGATTAGAAATGATGCACAAATATATACACTGCCTGGTCCAAAAAAATAAAGTCACTGTTTGGATTTAAATAGGCAAATGCTTATGGATAATTATTGCAGAGATTATTATGTTTCTAGCATGTTATATGTTTGGCAACTGTTCTTCTAACCCTAATTGATGGAGTGTGTAGCTTTTCATTTCTTAATCAACCATGTAGGAAGACACATCATAGCTTTATTCCAGGATGACAATGTCAAGATTCATCAGGATCAAATTGTGAAAGAATGTTTGTGAGGAGCATAAAGAATCATTTTCACACATGAATTGACACCTGAGTCCAGAGTCCAGGGTTAGAAGAACTGTTGCCAAACATATAATATGCTAGAAATATAAGAGCATCATTATATACAGTAGTGGCCATGTCTGGATGGATGTTTTTTATGACCCTACAAGTTTAATTAAACAATCAAAATATTTTAAATATTTTAAATATGAAGGAAAAACAAAACACTAAACTTGTTTAAGGTATTTATCTGACTTATCTGACTAAGCTACAGGTTTTATTGTACCATGCTAAAAGAAAAGATAAAATCCCCAAAAGCTCACAAGAGAAAGCATATATTGACTACAGCATACCTAGCACAACTATGTAATATGATTACAAAAGCTTTAACACATTTGTAATAATAATAATAAATATAGCTGCGAGCAGCGATTACGGGCCCAAGCCGGTGGCACCGCAACCCCGGTGCCTTTAGTTACCTAAAGGCACCAGGGTGGCGGTGCCGCCGGCTTGGGCCCTTCATCGCTGCTCGCAGCTATATTTATATATATATATATATATATATATATATATATATATAAAGCCGGTGGCACCGCCACCCTGGTGCCTTTAGGGTTATTGTGCACGACGTGACACAAAATATCTGCTTGCTATCTGCCGAACGGCTCTGGTAGTTTCGCTTCAGCACTGATGATGTTGTAGAAATAGTGCGCTCTGGTTGGTCTGGATTATTCGGGATTTTTTATTTTATACAGAAATAAATTCTTTATAATTCAGATGAGAATAAAGTTAGTGTTGATTAAAATGAAGGAAAACAAATATATTGATCTGAAATATAGCACATTAATTTAAAATTTATTTAGGTTCAATTACCAAACATACAATCTTAATTTAATTTAAAGCAAACAATACATTTAAAATATATGGGTTGTATGCACATTTTTTTTAATAAAAAAAATATATCCAAAAAGACAAGGCCTTAAAGGGTTAAACTCTTGTCACTGTAACAGACACATCTCTCTCTCTCTCTCACACACACACACACACACACGTCAAGTCACTTACATTTTTAGATGCAATATTGAATAAGCAGAAAAATCGGATTTTCTGCTCTGAAAATATAAATAAGCAAAAAAATTGAATAAGCACTTTGAATATTCTAAACAGAATAAGCACTAGTCGCTAATGAATAAGTACTAGTACTTAATGGAATAGATACTAGTATCTAAAAAATAAGTACTAGTAGCATGAAAATAGAGACTAGTTGGTTAAAATGATTAAATGTTAAAACGGCTTGCCATATTGGCTCAGAGAGAGAGAAAGAGAAAATGACCTTTTAGATACTATTACCTATTAATAGATACTAGTATTTATTCAATAAATACTAGTACTAAGTCATTAGATACTAGTACCTATTAAATAGATACCAGTACTTATTCATTAGCTACTAATACGTATTCAAAAGAATATCTAAAGAATAAGCACTAGTATCTAAAGAATAGGCACTAGTACTAAAGAATAAGCACTAGTCGCTAATGAATAAGTACCAGTACTTAATGGAATAGATACTAGTATCTAAAAATAAGTACTAGTAGCATGAAAATAGAGACTAGTAGGTTAAAATGATTAAATGTTAAAGCGGCTTGCCATATTGGCTCAGAGAGAGAGAGAGAGAAAATGACCCTATTCAAACCACAATATCTGACTTTCTGAGGGTCGGAGCTAATTACTTTAAATTAGAAAGTTGTTTGGCTTGAGGAGAAGAATATACACGCTGAGTTTTGTAACTGTAGATAAAACTAACCCCCCCACTTTTGTCAAAAGCATTTAGAAAGTGACACACTTCCTGCTGCCAGTTGGTGGCGCTATAACTTTGACTCACAATAGTCACATCCATGTGATCGGCCTCTTACAACGAACATACTGTTGAAGTTTCATCAAGATCAGTTAATGTATGCAGAAGTTATAACACACTTCCTGTTTCCATTATTCGCCATAAATTTGTTTCCTCGCCACGGCCAAACCGTTCGAGATATGAAAAATCCCCTGGCAATTTTTCATCCTCAATGTCTTGACATCATGCTGACCGAGTTTCCTTGCGATTGGTTGAATTCTCTAGGAGGAGTATATCGAATTCCAGGGGCATACGCTTCCAAACAAACCATAATAGCCGACTTCCTGTTGGGCTGGGGTAAAAAGTAAAAGTACAAAGGATATATGAACCGATGAGATCTATATGTGTACCGAGTTTCATATTATTACATGGAAGCGTGTTTGATTTATGGACCAAGTTTTCGGACCCCGTTCCAGGGGGCGCTGTCGAGCCCCCCTGCCACGCCCGGGTACCAGCTTCAGCCCGGCCCTGATGGCCGCGGGTTCTGACCAGTGTGCAAAGTTTCAAGAGTTTTCGTGCACGTTAAGAGCCCCAAAAGTGCCCGAATAGTCGATAAAATAATAATAATAATAATAAATATAGCTGCGAGCAGCGATTACGGGCCCAAGCCGGTGGCACCGCAACCCCGGTGCCTTTAGTTACCTAAAGGCACCAGGGTGGCGGTGCCGCCGGCTTGGGCCCTTCATCGCTGCTCGCAGCTATATTTATATATATATATATATATATATATATAAAGCCGGTGGCACCGCCACCCTGGTGCCTTTAGGGTTATTGTGCACGACGTGACACAAAATATCTGCTTGCTATCTGCCGAACGGCTCTGGTAGTTTCGCTTCAGCACTGATGATGTTGTAGAAATAGTGCGCTCTGGTTGGTCTGGATTATTCGGGATTTTTTATTTTATACAGAAATAAATTCTTTATAATTCAGATGAGAATAAAGTTAGTAGGGCTGCAACTAACGATTATTTTAATAATCGATTAATCTGTCGATTATTTTTACGATTAATCGATGAATCGGATAATAAAAAAAAGCATTAATTTCCAATCCTTTATTAAAAAACAGAACTGACAGTGCAAATTCACCGTGAAAAAAAGTCCAGTGCAAAAAAATAGACTAACCAAAAACATACACATGTATGCTTTACATCTGCCAAATAATATATGCTTTTTAAAAATAAAGTGAGCTGCTGTCAGAACAATAAATAATTGATAAAAAATAAAGAAAAATACCAATCAGAAAACTTAACAGGATTTGTTTGAACGTCAGAACTTGTTCTCTACATGCACACACTCACAAACTTGTGTTTTGTTTTAGTCAAAGATGTTATAATCTTTAACAAAATGTTTGACATTTTTTAACAAGCAAATGCAACTATTTTAATATTACCTATAATAGGTAATAATAATAGCAATAATAATAATTATAAGAGAAGATAATATCTGTAGTCTATCCTAATATTAATTATAAATACAATGTATATAAAATATAAATACAATATTAAATAATATTTTAAAAACAAATACAATGGATTGACCATCTCCTATGGTGTGTAAGGTATTTTGTTTATATACGTATAGTGTTTCTCTGAGTCATTAGAGTAAAGATCGAAAAAATCAGTGCTGCAAATTGTGGAAAAAATATTCCCCTGCCCTTGTAGTGGTAGGCTATTTGGACAGAAAAGAAACTGTTTTCATCGTCTGTCTATCTGATTCAAATCACAGTCAGCTAATTCAGTGGTAAGAATGTAATTGTTATTTTTATTTATATCTTATATAGTAGGCCTAATTATATATTACTGTAGTATGTACCAAATTACCAATGCTCGGACACACTCGGTCTCTCTCTCTCGTGCGCGCGATCTCGGACACACTCGGTCTCTCTCTCTCGTGCGCGCGATCTCGGACACACTCGGTCTCTCTCTCTCTCTCTCTCTCTCTCTCTCTCTCTCTCTCGTGCGCGGGATCTCGGACACACTCGGTCTCTCTCTCTCTCGTGCGCGCGATCTCGGACACACTCGGTCTCTCTCTCTCTCGTGCGCGCGATCTCGGACACACTCGGTCTCTCTCGCGCTCGCTCCGCGATTGAGCGACAGTGCTCCGCGCTCAACTCCAATTTTTTTTTTATACTCAAACATTTCCGTGTCGCGCGATGCAACGAATCGATTATGTAATTCGTTGCCAACTCTTTCAAAAATCGATTTTAATCGATTTAATCGATTCGTTGTTGCAGCCCTAAAAGTTAGTGTTGATTAAAATGAAGGAAAACAAATATATTGATCTGAAATATAGCACATTAATTTAAAATTTATTTAGGTTCAATTACCAAACATACAATCTTAATTTAATTTAAAGCAAACGATACATTTAAAATATATGGGTTGTATGCACATTTTTTTAAATAAAAAAAATATATATCCAAAAAGACAAGGCCTTAAAGGGTTAAACTCTTGTCACTGTAACA